TCATCATCCAACGTACACATGAAAACAGTCCTTTCTAATTTGTATCTCCAACAGAAAACGTACAACGGAGTTCATATAATACTCTTCTCTACAATATGATACAGTTTGTGCATATAGAAATTTGCACTAATTATCCCTTCTTCACAGTCTACAAAAAGGATATCAAACCCCATCCTACCCAGGGCATTATAGATACCGTTCTTGTTTCAGACTGTGGAAATAGACTCCTTTCTGAATAAGTTTACAAATCCTATAATTCCATTCAGATCTCCTGACCCTACTGGTCCTAGAATTCATCATTTTCCTTCTTATTTATAAATTTTATCATATATCAACTATTAGCTCCCACGAGACAATTTTATGGTATATGAATTAGGTTTTGTAATAGCATCGCGTAAATAGGCTAAAATTTAGAATTAAACTAATCGTTTTTATCCCAGACTCGGTTCATTTTACATATTCAGACTTGATATCCCATCTCTTCTGTTCCTGACAAACACATATTATTAAGGAACGCAAGAAACATCCTCCTTAATCACTCCATTACATTTAGGAGAAATATATTATTTCATTCATCTTATTAAAGGCACTCTTATATTGTTAAACGTTCATTAAGACCTATATATATTGATGTAACTTTCTAATAAATTCATCCAGACAAAAACAACACTATTACTCTTATTCAACTTCGACACACAAATAAATAAATATACTACATATATATTTAATTTATATATTCTATATCTCCTCATCCATCTTATCGTCTCCTTATTTATTCTTCTCACAAGGTGTACAAACTATATTCAACCTCAGTCTTCTACAGTTCTTATATCTTTGTCTATAAGACACATTCTTCTTAAGCTGTTCCTCTACTCTTTAACCATTAAAAAAAAACTACTTGGAAAGATTTCTATAACATAAGATTGAATAGAAAAACAGTTAATAATTTAATTAATATTAACAATAATATAGATAAATAAGTTTTATTAAAATCTCAAAAGACCGCTTAATTTCCTCCTATTACTCCCCTATACTTGATTACCGTACTATGAACACGTTAATACCAATTATTTATTACTGTGACCACATAAAAAAGTTGGCAGGAGGCTTATCTAAAAACACCCATTTTGTTCCGTACATCGACTTTGTTTAAAATGACCACACGAAACTGTATAGTTAAACAAATTACATCTATTTATATTTACATACATTGTTGTCTCGATTGTTTGATTCAAATGCTATTCACTAATGGGAATTTGTTACAATCCAGGCTCTTATCTTCATATATACTTAAAGAATTACAGATTGAAATTATAACGCTTGGATGGTTCTCTCACTATTATCTTATGCTACGACTTGTCCTCTTGCATTCTATGTCGCTATTCCACTCCTTACTTATGACTTATTACTTTCGCACTGAATTTCGTATCGACCTCTTAAGACATCTATTTCACGAATATTACTAGGTAATTAAGCTTTCGCAGCATCGCAATCTTTACGTCTGGGCATATCATCCTTCGAGAGAGTCGTTCAGAGATGCACCTTAGAAGCAGACACATAAACGTTTATTTTTCCATTTTTATACAGTTTTCATATTTAGTGGAAATGAGCTATGTTATTCATTTTTTTTCAGGCTTAAGTCATTTTGTACTTTTCAGTCACCCATTTCTCAAGCATTAAAGTTCGTCTAACATTTCAGGATTTTATTGTTCTTCTTGTTCATTCGAAGATTTTGATTGTGGGGACGCTAAACCTGTCCATTAAAAGGAAATGAACAATTTGTTCAGACAATATACTTGATTATTTAATTACTACAACTATTTAAACTAACACTCAGTAAACACACTCCATTTCTACTTGTGAATATTCACTTTAAACAGGAAAAATTTTAAAAAAAAAACGGCACAAACACTTTTAACTCCAAAAATTAACTTGCAATATTTTTTACTTTTTACTTTTACCATTTATTATGGAATTTGCTCTACTCTCCTTCAGATTTTAACCTTTTTTTTTACAAACCTATGAACGATACCTTCAACCTAAAAATAAAACCTCGATTTAAAACCAAAAAAAACCACCACACAACTTTCTACAATTCTTTGAAAAGTTCAACGTTACAATGCTCATAATCAACAACAAAGCAACAACAACACGAACATTTACTCCTACCACAAACTATCTGTTCGCTACTTTAATATTATCTCACATGCACCGACTCTCAAACAACATCTAAAAAAACCACACACAGTCATCTTAACACCATTCCGTTTTGACAAAGTGAATAACACAGTCCGTATTTGATTTACTTCCGTGTAAAAAGAATCCAATTCCAAACATCAAATACTTCAACAAAACATTGCCTCACTAAGCTCTCTTCTATGTAACAAAATAAACTGGTCAATCATCTGACACGTCACGAGCTAACAATAATTTATTTTATCGTGCTACTCTCGTTTTCTGTTCCTTTTTTTTTTTAACTTTGACTTCAACTAACTGCTGTCGTATGTTCACCTTCCACCGTCAAGACTTTATTGTTTTTTTTTCATTCTCTTATACGTTTCTCTCGCATATTGTTAGCTTTGCTTCCTACTTTCATGTGTGATTTTAAATTAGTAACTACGTTTCTCATTGTCAACCAATAGACTCCGTTTGTCACTAAAACCATCAAGACGTTAATTCCGGCCGATACAAACTACATTGGTAACTGTTATTTTATGTTAACAATGTTATTGTTTTATTGTATAATTTAATTATAACGGTATTCATTTAAATATTTTTTCTATTAATTTAAAAATTTAAAACTGTTATCCCCACCTTCTCATTTCAATTTATTTTTAATTTATTTAATGTATGTTTAATGTATGGTTTTTATGCTACTTGATACTTTGCATTTCCCTCGTATAAATAAATGTATCTATCTAATCTATTATCTATCTATCTATCTATCCTATCTATCTATCTACTATCTTCTATTAAATATTATTATCTATAAAAAAGATATTTATTTTATATTTATATAACTTTTATTATTAATTATAATTTAATTAAATAATTTCTATTAATTAAAGTTAACTCGTTTATCCCCACTCGTCAGTCAATTTTATTTTTAATTTTATTTTTAATGTATGTTTAGTATGTTTTATGCTACTGTAACTTGAATTTCCTCATAAATAAAGTATCTAACTATCATCTATCTATACTAGGTCTATCTACTATCTGCTATTAAATATTATTATCTATTAGAGTATTTCTGATTCTGATATCTATTTATCATGCACACTTTGACCAACAGTTACTAAGTTAGATAAAAATAAAATCATGTCTAAAGTAAGTATTTAAGAAAAAAATATATTTTTAATGTCGGGTTATAATCTGATTTGCAGTCAGTTAACCAATTTCAAAGGACAACAATTATATATTATTGAATTTAATATGTAAAGCATGACTATTGGCTCACTTCCTGTGAAGAATTATTTTACACATTGTGCATTAATATGTAATATTTATAGTTAGGATGAAACTATAGGAGTGGAAACTTTATTATAGCTTTAATAGTGTTCTTTTATTCACTATAATTCTAGATCTGCTGCAAACCACATTAAAGCTGAACCTAAATGCATTTTAAACTTCTTGTATAAATACTTCTTCCCCTTGTTCATTCCTACTGGACCGGTTCCTAACCTCATGCCACAACATGTGCAATAGTTGTCACGAAACTAAAACAAGACATTCAAACTTGGCACTACTCTTTAATCAAGAAATTTAGATTCTCATTAAAACAGTATTCTCTCTCTGAAGATTGCTCCTCACCGTGTAAATTTGCAACACAGAAAATGAAAACACATTTCTCTCATTGGTATTGACTTTATTCAACAATTCTTTACTACAACAATGCAGCTTGTATGAATTAGGCATTAATTTGAAGGAGTTACTTTACTTAAAACATCCCGTGTATATCTGTGTGTGTGTGTGTAAGTTTATGTTCGTGTTAAAGATAATTCACTCTTCCCCCCCAAAACTTATTTGGTAATGGTGTTTGCGTTCATACTTTTCCCACTCCCACTAAGCACAATATACGGTGTCTTCTGAGATTTCTGCTTCTCTTGAAGCAAAGCCACCGTCCCTAGCGGAGTATCACTGCTGCTCATCTTCTTCAGCAGTGCCTCTTCCTCCAGCTTCTTCATCCTCCTCTCAGTCTTCATCTTCCCAGACCCTTTCCCATGGAATCGATGTGAAAGCTGCCTGAAGGCTTCTTTTGGAGTGAGTTTCCGTCCAGATTCGTCCACATACTCAATCTTGACGTCGGGCTTATAGCTATCCTTCTCCTTGAAGTCTTGAGTGAAGCCTCTGTATTCTTCTCTGCGGCTGTACTTGTCATCAAAGCCCATCTTGTCCTCGATGCAGTAGTTGTCGTTGGGCAAGGCGCCTTTTGGTGCTCTGACACGGGCCACCTTCTGCATCTGAGTGTCCAATAGACCTTTGTTTTTGCACAACAGCAAGGCAGCAGCCAGGCCGGAGTTGACGATGGGCTCCTCGTCCAAAATGGTGGCAGAGGCTGTGGAGAAATCTGGTTGTTTCTGTTCTTCATCCAAGTTGACTGTGCTCCATCCGACGTTCTCATCCATGTCTGAGTCGGATTCTCCAGCATCCTCTTTCTCCTCTTCCTGTTCAAAGTCCATAATGTCCTCTTGGTCCTCTCGGTTGCCGGACAGTCCATACGTGGGAATATCGCCCAGAGTTCTGCAAAACTCCGAGGTGGCATTGAAAACAATGTTGTTCCTCTTCTCCGGATCATTTTCAGCGTCGTCTTTAGCGAGCCCTTTAATCTGCTCTGCCACCTTCTCCCCAGAGTCTTTGAGGAGCTGCTTTTGCTTCAGCTTCCTCTGCTTCTCCAGCTGTTTCTGCAGCTCCTGCTCTGCCTCATCCTCCTCGAGTACAGCTGGCTCGGGAGGCGTGAAGTCGTCCTCGTCGCTTATTTCCATTTCTGCCATCCTGATGTCATCAGACATTTGGGGGATGTCCTGTGGCAGCCTGCTCTCTTCCTGCTCCTGCTCCTCCTCCTCCTCCTTTACTTCCACGACGTCTTTGTCGGCCTGCTTGCGGCCTCGACCGCGCGTCCTGGAGCCAAAATCAGTGCTGCGGGTGTCATCGAGTTGAAGTTCATCCGCAGCCGTCTGCTTCTCCCTCTTCCTGATCTTCTTCACGCGGCGTTTTGTCTTTTTAAAGCCCACCATCTCCTGAGGCGTGTAATACTCGGAGGCAATAGTGAGAGAAGGCATCTCCAACGACTGGGCTTGATTGCGTAGAGCCTCTCTCATGGCCTGAATCTCCCGCTCTCGCTCCCCGTCGGCAAAGCCCCCCGTGTTCAACCGGAAGCTCTTTTTCTTTTCACCCTCAATTTCCTCATCGTACTTCGACAGAACAGAGTGGGTCTTGAACGTAACCATGTCATCCACACTTTCCTCCTCTTCGTAGGGCTTGTAATCTGGCTTTTTCTTTTTTAACTCCACGTTCTTTTCCGCTTTTTCCTTGTCCACCAGTCCCACGTTGACAAGCACATCTTCCTCCTCTTCGAGTACACCTTTGTCTTGAAGGGTCAGGATGACGGTCTGGCCCTCGTTGAAGGAATCCACCTTGTGCTGCACTTTGAGCCCCTTCAGATCTTGAGACGTGTAGGCATCCTTTTTACTTTGTGCAAACTCTTCCTCTACCAGACTGCTGACGCCAAACTCCTCATCCATCTCTTCCAGAAGTTTGGCTCTTTTCTCTGCCATTTCTTTTTCTTTGGCCAGATTTCTGCTTTTCTCAACCCAGGCGGATGTGTCATCCAGCCAGTCGTCATCCGCCAGGGTCTTGACTTTACCCAGCTTCTGGTTCTGGATCCGTTTTTCTTTCATAGCTGCAAGCTTCTCCCTCATCTCTTTCTGCTGCTTGATGAGAACAGGGTTGATGGTTTCAGCCACCAGTGGCTCCTCCTTGGTCCCGAGCTCCTTCTTGTTCTCATTTAATTCCAGGGGCTTCAGACCCAGCTTGGCTCTGAGTTTGTTTGTCTCCTCAATGCTGAGAGAAGCGTCTCCGCTCGCAGACTGAGGCGCAGGTTCTGCATTGCTTTCATCATATCCAACATCTACTTTTTCCTTCTTCACTCGTGGTTCCCCGCTGCCCCGTTCACCTTTGCTGCGGCTCTCCCGTCCCTCCCGTCCGCTTCTTTCTCTGGACCTGGAGCGTTTTCGTTTCTCTTTATCCCGAGTTGTCCCATCCCGGTCCGAAGCGTCTCTTTCTCGGTCCTTGTGTCGATGTTTCTTATGTTCGCGGCGGCGCTCTTCGGTGTCCTTGTCGCGACTCTTCTCCTTGTGTTTCTTAGACGACCCCATTATTCCCTCTGCAGGCGACAACAGTTAAAAGTTAGACAATACTTTTTTTTTGGCAGGAAAACAAAATGTTGCTCGTTTTCCTCCGCTGACTAGCTCACGTTAGCTTTGAAGGCTAAGTGGTTTAAACGACGACACAACTCACTCAAGTCCGGATGGAAAAATTAAACCTTGTTCTTCCAAAATCCGATATCAAACGACGAAGAATTGCAATATGCTTAGCTGTGTGGTTTCTTCACGCCAGTTTAGACAACTATACTCTACGTTTAGATCTTCACACTTCGTCAAACAAACGGAGTAAGACAATAACTACCGTTTCCTGCAAATCCACTTCCTGTGGTCGAAGATTAGTTATCAACCTAGAAACTAATGTGTTAAATTATATCGCCCCCTGTCGTACGGGAGTGTTTAAATCAGGCCAGGAGCACATCCATGAGTGGCTGCGTTTTGAGACAGATAAGACTTTATTGTTTATCAAATGACTGTTTACCAGATGCATAGATAATTTGTGAAGAAAACCCCTCCAACGCTACTGTAATATATGAAGTGCCAGGCAACGACGTTTCCTCCACGTTCACTCTGAATGGTAATATCAACGACGCCTCTTATTCCTGCAAGCTAACTTAGCAAGCGCAGTTTTGAAATAACACGACTAAAAAAAAAAAAGCCAGTATTTTAAAACAGCTGCGTTTGTCGTTAGTTAATGATATTGCTGGTTAGTCCCGACCGCTTGTGAACCGTAGCTTAGTGCGATAACTAACCCAGTCTTTCGCGCTTGAAGTGTAGCGTTGCTAACGTCAACGCAAGGGGCTCGGATGCTTGTTTGCTTCAACTTTTATCGAGGCATTTAAAGTTAGCTCCGTGGCGAGCAGCTGGCAGCGAGCTAGGTAGCATTGGCGAGCTGCCTCGGCAAAGCTCGGCAACTTTGGTGACTCGTAAGCATTCGGTTTTTGTGTGGTTGTTTGTTTTGATCGACACATGTAACGCCGACGTTGGATCGATACAGAGTCACGTTAACCAGCGGGTTAGTTGCTGCAGATCGTGTTGCCATGGCGATTGTGGAACGGTCACCTAGTAACTAGTAAAGTTCACAGAAACGGGGGGTTTTAAACGATGTTTTAACGTGTGTTGTTACCTGACTACAGGTGTTGTTACCTGACTAACAGGTGTTGTTATTGCGACACTTTCTGTCTGCAGCTAACGTTAACGTCAGCTAACTCGCAGCGAGGTGGAGAGGGAATGTGTCATTGTTTTTTTTCCCACCCCGGGAACCAGAGCGGGCCATTACACACACACACACACA